ATACGAACTGCACGATCTGGAAATCCGTCACCACCCTCTTCCACCGGGGGCGGGACCCCAAGGCGGTGCAGAAGTAGTACCAGTACATGACCACGTGCACGAGCGCCACCGGGAACAGGTTGGGTTCGGTGTTGCTGATTGTGGGGCTTAGCTCACAGCAATCTCCATATCGTGAAAACCCCAAAACCAACAAAACAGCACCAGTGTTCAATTTCTAGAACCACCACCCAACTACTCAAAACAGTTTACAAACAGATAAAACTGGGCAGCGCATTCTCAATTAACCATCCTTCGACTGAGAGCTTAATCAATCAAAATTCATTTGAATGAGGAGCGAGGGAAGCTGAATTGTATCCGGCCATACCTTTTGTGTTTTCAACAGAAACAGATACTCGCCGATCCTGAAGACCACCGATTCAGGGGAATCGCAGAACAAAGGAAGGGACACAGAAAAGCGAGAGCGACTTTTCCTACCACAGCAACTTCTCTCTACTGCCATCCATGAAGGTACGGCTGACCAGATCCTCCATGTGGGAAACCCTACGGTCTAAGGTTCAGTTAAGCATAATAAGAATCATCATGGAAACCCTAATTATTTGTTATATATTTACAAGCAGGTATTATATGAAGCCTGTAACATTATTGACGCATATACTCACTCTTCACCGGAACGTGGTTCCAAGTCGGAGCTCGAGTCCGAGTCCGAGTCCGAGTCAGGCACCACCACCGGATCAACTCCTGCGGTCTGCTCTAGCTCAACCATTTCCGGTTTTCGGGATTTCTCGTTTTGGGGATTTCCGAATTCTTCTTCTTCTTCTTCTTTTTATACATGCCGGTCTAGCTAGTTCATAGCGCTTTCGCAAATTTTGGAAAGGCCCATTTCCCTTTTCTGTAGACTAAATAGAAAATATTGAAATAAAAGCCCAGCCCATCTTCGCTGCAATACATAACGGGCCTAGATCCTATCACTACATACCCGACACGATCACACAGCAATTCCATTTCCTTAACACTCTCGGATTATCTTGGAACCTCATTACCACAGAATACCGATCCATCCATCGCCACCAGTAATCCAGCATACCATTGATAAATTAGTCCAAACAGATGCATTTCAATTCCACAGCAAGGAAGGGAACCATGAACCAACATGGTGGTTGTCGTTGTAGCATTCCATAGCTTCTTGTGCAGTCTAGGTAGTTTGACGTTTCGATTTTTGCACGAGTAGTTCTGAAGCCTCTTCCTCGAAAGAAGACGTCCTGCGTACAATACAATTTTCCCGTGATGAGATGAGTAGGATTCGAATCAGACCGACCCATATCTATTGTCATCTCTTCGTCCAGTAGTAGCGGTTTTGTTATTATTACTATAAGTTAATTATTATGATATTGTGTTTCGCAGTTAATAATTGGAATGGTTATCAACTATGCTTAAGTTATTAACTCATACACGAACGAGGTACATATTGATATATATAATAAAAAATCTAAATCTTTCTACTTCGACGATGAGTTATTAACTCATAACGGGGCACCGCAGGCTCGTTGTCCGAGAGAGATTACTGCTTTTGGGATTTTTTTTTATAACACTGCTTTAGGGATTTGATCAGTCGTGTCTCCAAATCTTTTTCTCTTGCGAATTTCTATCTTGAGATGTGGGAGCACACAACAGCCACACAAAAACACATTTAAGCACGAGAAAATGGACATACTAATCAAAGTTTACTATCCCTTGTTTCATTTCAGGGGAAACAAATGAGCAGTAAGTAGCATCTGTTGTGTTCTTAATCGTTACAGCTCTTTCTATATCCTTCCCACGACAAAATTTTCTAATCAGAACCCAATATGCACCGCCATACTTTTGTTAGCATATGTATATATGTGGTAAAAGTGGGAACTCAATAACAAAGAGTTAATACTATGGTTTCTACATCCCCAAAACACTACACCAAGTAGCTCTGTTCCCACCAATTCCTAGTCCCCCACTTCTCTACCTAAATCCGTGCCTGCCCTGCAAATGGAGAAACAAGGCAATATCAGAACTAATACAACTGCATAACAGAAGATGTAAGGTTAATGCCTTGTATTGAACAAGTAGGAGACGAGCAAGAAGTTGAAATGGATGGAAACATTCCCAACCAGGAAGCACTAGAGACAGATTCACAAGCACAAGTCACCACAACAAATGTGGTAACATCATATGGGAAACATGAGTAACATGCAAGGGATTCAAAAGTTTCAGCCAAAGTGTTATGGGAAGGTTGTCAAGATGAAGTATGTGATTTATATTAACAAAATAAGATTGAAGCAATTGAAGGTCCAACAAAAGTCGTAGCAGTTGGTCTAACCTTGTCAGCTCTAGTAGTCAGTTCACAAAAGAATGGATATAGTAAAGTTGAAGGGGACTAATGTAGTTAAATGTGAAGATGAGTTATGTGGGTCTAAAGCAGATGAAGAAGTTGTAGTATCTGACAAAGAAGCAACATGAGAACAATATGTGACTTGAAGTAAGATTCTTAGCCAATAATGTTGCTGATTAAACTAGCTGTTATGCATGGGAAGAGCAATCATATTTACTTGGGCAGCTTTGAAAGACAAAGAAGCAAAACTTGAAGTGAGTTTCTTAGCCAATAATGTTGCTGATTAAACTAGCTGTTATGTGGATATAAACTGAAGGCTGAAGTATTTCAGTTTAGGGAAGGATATTGTTCACAAGAAGCTGTTATGAGTCATTCAAAGTAAACCACGTACCAGTTTAGCGACCAACTAATCAATATTCTACTCTTTAGGTGCCTGCAGCAAAAAGAGATATACATATTTGTATATATCATCCTCCAAAATTTATATGAATATGACAGCAAAATTAACAAACCGTGCTTACCCAAGCTAGTTTCGTAGTCATAACATACTTGAGCGCCTCCAAGTCTATTATCTTGAATCCTTCATCGCCGAAGCTTGTCCCCTGATTGTCTTGGGCAAGGAAGCACTCCCTGCCATCAATTTTCTTGTACCCCATGAGACACAAAGCATGAAGGCTGGTCGGAACTTTTGAGGCATCATGGTGCGGCTTTGGGTGTGGTTTCCTTTTCTTTTCCTCTCCCTCTTGCTCCTGCTCTTCCCCATTCCCTTTCTCCTCATCAGAAGCTGTTTCATAGGGGTCGGGGACTGGCTGAAGGCCAAGGCGAGCAACATCTTCAGCCTCGAGTGGACGTCCTATGCCTCGAACAATTGTGTCAGGAAAGGTATAGTCCAACTTCAATTCTATAACACCAATGACAGGGCCTTTGTTCTGAATTGACAGCTTCAACAACCTGAGATCTTCATCATTCTCGATTTTACACTTCCTATACTTTGACAGGAAGAATTGGACTGGGTACACGCTATCAGCTAGCGGGAGTGGAGCTCGGCTGTCCAAGAAATGCTTTAGAGCTGAAGCCCGCGTGTCTTTAGCTTCCTGAATCCAGTTCCCTTCCATTTGTCGAAGCCTTTTCGCTGAGAATCGAGTGGTGAATGGATGTCCACCCGGCTTTCCACCAGCAATTCTGGCCCTTGCGTCCAAACAGTCGCAGAGAGCGCGGTAGAAGCAAGTGTCTGGAGAGAAAAACGGGAGAAAAGAAGATAACTATTACAGACCATATAAACAAATAACCAACACACAAACAACCGCATTTCCCACTAATTACGCTCGGTAAACCCGCTATAATACTACTAATTAATATATGCATCTCGTTAACAAGCTCCAGTTAATAGAAAGCCCAAACAAACACTTACTATCCTTGTTTGTTCTGACGGGTGACAGAACAGAATGGTCAGCGATGGCGCTGTCACCGCCAACCTTGGCTCCTCTCCTAGTTACTTCCTCTTGCGGCACCGGCTTCGGCTTCTCCTCCGCATTCCTTTTCCCCGTCATTTTCTTCTTCGATCGAGTGAGAGGGGAATTCTAGGGTTTGAGGAGGATATCGGCGGAACTCGGAGCTCACTGATTTGTGGTTTTCGTTTATGGTGCGGTTGCGGCTGAGAGTTACGGGAAGCTCCTGGTACTGATTTCCATCTCTGCAGTCTTTCCTCTCCTTTCCCGCGGGTTTTCTTCTCTTGACCTAGGAATGATGTGTATTTGCTTTAGGTCAGTCCGGTTCGCGGATCAGTTGGCGGCCCCCAATGTGAGATCAGTTTTTGAAGATGGAAAGCTCCATCGATCTCAATCGAGAAGTGGAAGCTGTGTGCAGCAGAATGGAGAGGACCAACAGCAGACAGCAGCTGCAGAGTGCAGACTATAACACTGAACACGTTGTATGGAAGTCGTTTCTTCTCCAAATAGTCTCGCCTATCCAATACGGCGCCGCACTGCTTTTTTTTTTTTTTTTTTTTTTCTAGCTCCTTTACATGATTGCATTTGTTTCTGGCCAAAAGCCCAAAAGTTTCAAGATTCGGGTAAGTTTCTTCTTTTGATTTCTTCCGCCCTTACTACAGAGAACCAGAGTATATCGTGAGGTTTTTTCACACTTAGTCTCTGATGCCTCCACAAAGGGAGGTCTTGTAGTGGACATCACAGCCATCTATTCATTTCCCAGAATCTAAACATTTACACAGAACTTCTTCCTATCATCTACAACACCACCACCAGCATTTCTCAAGTGAACCGGCTCTTTTTTCCAAAATCAAATGTACTTCTTTAGCCGCCCGGTGGCAGAATCGAATAGCCTGCCCTGTACAACAGTACCATAGCGTTCCTTCTCCTTCAGGCGGGTTGGAGTTCTCATAATCTGCTCCAAACATGTCTCTTCCTCTTTCCTAACCCCAACTTCCATTTGGCTGGTATACATTCTAGTCTTCTGCAGAGCCTCTTGCAACAACAATTTGTCTCATCATCAGAATGGGCTCATGTCTACGCAGTCGTTGTGACCTGAAGATCGGTTGCACTCTTCAGTTCAACCATCCATGGCTCATTCGACTGCATGCAGCTGCTCAGGATAACGGAGCTTATGTCAACGATTAATACCATCAAGCTCGTCTCTCGAGCTCCGGCCTCTCCTCCAAGCAGTCACTGTTTCCACCAACAACAGTGAACACATCTCCAACGCGCCTCTCGAGGAGAAACCCATGCTTGCAACTAGAGTCACAATCGAAGATGGGTTGGCCATGCTTATCGATGTTGATGAGCAGCTGAGGCGTGCAGCTGCAGATTCTCCTTGAGGGCTTAGGAACTGCGCTTCAGCTCGTGGATACTATCAGTCAGAGTCCTGGAAATAATAGTTACCGGCCCTGCTTCAAAGGATGATCTTGTGTTCTTGAGTTCGGTAGATTTACCGAAGGTTAGATAACTCATCACAAAGTTCCTTCAGCTTCCAATCCCTGGTAGCAAGCTCCTGTGAATTGTGTGCGTGGTGCTTCTCCAGCGTTTCATATTTTTGTTTGGTTCTGTGCCTCCGATCAGCAAGCAGCCAACACAAGCATCAACCTGACCCTCGGGTTGTTTCGAAGTCAGTCCTCGAGAGGGCAACTAAATTGGTAACAGACCTCGGGTGGATGCTTTTCTTCTCATTTTGATTGCTGAAATACGCTTAGTGAGGGTGGCTATGACTCCTTTACTTCTGAGTCTGGCTTTTGTAATAATTGAAACTTTGAGAGGCGTATAGAGCACACTGTAACAAAATGCCACCCTACTATCTAAAAAGCTGCTACTGATTATACCTGAACCTGCTGCTGCACAAATCTGAAGTTGAAAACTCAAAAGGGGATCCAAAGTCGCCAATTTGCTATGCCAGAAGAGAATCACTCTTACAAAAATGTAAAAAGTGTGAGTACATTCTACATGCTGCTTCAAGTAAAATACATGAAATCAAGCGAATGCGAGCTTAGCACCCAAAGGCCCTGACTAACCAAAAACATAACCGAGCGCAATAATCCTTCCAAGTCGTCGCAGATTGCAGACAGGAGCAAACCTCAATCATCTACCAAATTAGAATGAAATGACACTTGAAATGGACATAATCGAAAATTAGAAGGACTAAGTAATCCCCGTCACATTAATAATTTTCAACACACACCAATGCTCATTGCCGCCGCCAGTCAAATCTACCAGATTTAGTTGAGCACTTGGTCGAACATGTAGCAGCCATATCAGTTGTTATCGAGCAGATTATGGTGTTCCTAACTGGGCATATCAAGCAATCAACAATCAGTTTTATCATTCGAGAAACAGGCTATGAGCTTCCTTGCTTATTCCACTAAAATCTCTTCACTGGGAAATTCTCAGTAAATATCTCAACGGGCGCAAATACTTGTAGTTTCCATACTAATTCTCAACGGCATGCACGTTGGAGTAGACGGCTTGGCCCATTGGTTCAGACCGTCAGCATATCCCCAGTTAAACTTCCTTATTAACTTGTACCAGTTCATTGAATTACTGGCCCTATATACTCCAACCTCTCAACATAAAACAGGAAAACAAAGCAGCAAGAAGCAGAACGAAGAGATGCCATTATCAAATGCTCAAAAAGGTATAAAAGAAAAAACTAGCCACACACAGAGACGCCATGTCTACAATATATAGGGGACTACTGCACCCCTGGTTTTTCTGCCTTTTATCTTTTGATAACAAGCTCAAAAGTATCATATATGGCGCAAAAGAGTGACTTGCTTTGCGGCTAGCTAGCTTGAAAACCATCACACGTATGTCTTGTCTCCGCATTAATTAAACTACTACTACAACTATGCTTAAGTTATAAACCGTTATTAGTACTACTACAACAACTACACTGAAGTTATAAATGCATAAACAAAAACAACGTGATACATATAAATATGCACAATCACAATTCTAAATTTTTCTACTTCGAAGATGAGGAGGAACCAAACAGGGCACGTCATATTCTTCGTCTGAGGAGGTCAATATGTCATCGTGGCAGTTGAGACCTTTCTTACAATTACGCTTACCAAACTCCAACTGCTCCTCGGGAGGATGGTAGAAAGGTTGCTTGGTGAACGTCGAACAATAGTGGCAACCAATTTTGGGGGGAACTGCATGCATGCAACAAAATCATCACCTTTAAGCATCTATCTATCTATCTATCAGCAAGTTCACATACACCCCACGATGAATGCAACAAGATAGTTAGTTAAATGTAAAGTGCATCATCTCAAACCAACAGCAGCTAGCAAACCAATTAATTAAGCACAGAAACTACTCGGTATGTACAATTACCAGGTCCAGAAGGATCTATGATGACGCAAGAATGTACAGTGAGCTTCATCCCCTGGCCCTCGTATAGGGCTGTCTCAGCAAAGAACAGTTCAGTTTTAGGAGGTGTTGGAGGGGTGCTTTCGATGGGGATAGAGGACGAGGACGAGGAGCCACTATCATTATTGACAATGACCATCTTAGGAGTAGGAGGAGTCCTCTCCATGGAGGAGGAGGAGGACCCATCGTTATTATCGATGACGACCGTCTTAGGAGTGGGAGGGCTGCTTTCCATGGAGGAGGAGGAGGACGAGACGAGATTCGTAGCAGTGAACATGGAGTGGGTGAACATTCCAGAAGGAATAAGAACATCATTGATGAGTATGAAATCCACAAGCACGTACTCTACACCCTGATCATCCATCCAGAGCCAAAAAAACCAATAAAGTAGTCAACCAATGCATGAAATCCAATGCAAGTGATGAGAATCATTAACTAATGAGATAAGTAGAGGAATTAATTAAAACCAACCTGGTGGTTGTAGTTGTAGTGCTTCAGAGCTTCTTCCGCAACCGAGGCAATTTGCTGTTTGTGACGCTGTGCAACGACATCTGGATCCTCCTCGGAGGAGGAGGAATAATCCATCCTACGTAATACATATGTAAATCATCATCACCATCATGAAATCAAAGCAAATAAAGAAACCAAACCTGACAAATTAAAGAGGAAATTAATCAAGCAAAACCCACTTAGAATTGGAAGAAACAGCCCAACACCCGCCACCCAAATTACTTACGCACCAACAAATCTGTAAGCTAGCTAGCTAGCTGACTGAAGCCTATAAAACATGGAATAATAATCGAACCGACAACGGATTATGCCCTAGACCATACATCAGCCGTTGTCGGTCTGTTTAATTTGACACATGTGCAGAGACATATCAAAACAGACGACAGATTGAGAAGATTAATCTTCAATTAGGCATAATAATCATGGAAACCCTAGTTCTTATATATTTCAAAGCAGGTATGAAGCCAAGATCATTGACGCATATACTTACTCTTCACCGGAACGCGGTTCCAAATCGGAGGCCGAGTCGGAGTCCGAGTCCGCCTCCTGAACAGACACCACCGCCGGATCAACTCCTTCGATCTTTTGCTTCTTCAACATTTCTGATTTAGCCATTTAGGGGTTCTAAGTTCTAACACTATGGCTTCGCTGTGAACGGTGAGGCCGAATTCTTATTCTTCTAGTTATATATGCCGGTCTAGCTAGTTCTTAGGGCTTTCGGAAATTTTGAGAGCCCATTTTCCTTTTCCGAATACAAAACATATTGAAACAAAAAGCCCAGTCCATCGTCGCTGCAACGGGCCCAGATCCTATCACTACATAGACAACCCGAGCATTTTTCAATTCCTTAATAATATCGGATTAGCTTGGAAGGAGACATCATATAGCATTAGAGAGCTTCTTTTCCGGTCCAAGTAGGTACTTCCTAAGTCCCTTCTTCAGAAGGATACATCATATCATATGTACAATACAATTTTCCTGTAATGAGATGATTAAGGGTCGAATCAGACTGACCCATGATCTAGCCCACGACCGATATCTATTGTCCAGTAGTAGCGGACTAGCGGTAGAGTAGAAATAATGTGCTTTAAAGGTTTTGATATTATTCTTATTGTTAGTCAATTATTATGATATTGTGTTGTGGTTAATAATAGAAATGGTTATCAACTATGCTTAAGTTATAAACTCATACACAAACGAGATCCATATATAAATGCATACAATCGACAATCTAAAATTTTCTAATTCGGCAATTAAGAAGAAACTAACGGGGAACAATAGGCTACTCGTCCGAGGAAGAAGTCCAGTCGTCCTCTTCGTATTTGAGACCTTTGTCACAATCCTGCTTACCAAACACTAACTGATCCTCAGGTGGATGGTAGAAAGGTTCCTTGGTGCACCTCGAACAATAGAAGCAACCTACATTGGAAGGAACTGCATGCACGCAACAAACATAATCATCCTCATCATCTTTAAGCATCTATTCTATCTTCCTATCAGCAAGCAAATATATACCCTTAGCCTGAATGCAACTAGATAGCTAGTTCAAGAGTAAAGCTAGGGCATCATCATCTCAAACCAACATCATGGCTACCAAACCAATTAAGCACAGAGTAGATGTATAGTTGCCCGGTCTAGAAGGATCAATGATGACACAAGAATGAACAGTGAGCTTCATCACCTGGCCAGAGTACATTGTTGTCTCAGCAAAGAACAACTCCTCGGCAGCAGGAGTTGGAGGGCTGCTTTCCACTGCGGCGACGGAGGAGCCATCATCATTATGGACAGCAGCCATCTTAGGAGGAGTGGCAGAGCTGCTCTCCATGGAGGAGGAGGCAGAGGAGGGGCCGACCTTCTTGGCCGTGAACAAGGAGTGGCAGAAAATCCCACATTGTGCAATTATAGCCTTGCTGCGAATGGGATCCACAAGCACGTATTCCACACCCTGATTCGTCATTCATCCATCGACCTAGTCCCAAAATTTCATCAAATTAGTCCCAGCCCAGATCGAGCATGATATTCAAACGCAATCCAAGGGAACCATCCATAATTGGGAATTAACTAAAACCAACCAACCTGGTGGGTGTCCTTATATTACTTCAGAGCTTCTTCTGCAATCCAGGTAGTTTGCTTTCTTGAGTGCTTAGCATGTACTTCTGGATCCTCCTCGAAAGAAGAAGAAGAAGAAGAAGAAGCAGGCATCCTACGCACAATCATACAATAATCAAGGAAACCCTAATTCTTATATATCGACGGAGGGCAAGAATTTTTACAAGAAGGTACATATATGAAGCCAATGTTGACATTAACGCATATACTCACTTGAGACCTGGTCGTGGTTCCAAATCAATATCAGAGTCTAATTCATCATCGGACAACACCACCACCGGTGGATCGACTCCTTCAATCTTTTGCTCCTTTTCCATTTTCGGTTTTGGGGGTTTTTCTAAAACGATGGTTTCGATTGAACGGCGGGAAGCTTTTCTTCTCCTTTAAGGGCTTCTGCAAATTTTGAAAAAGCTCGTTTTCTTTCCAAAAACAAAAGTCCAGTCCATCTTCGTTGCAATCTATAACGGGCCCAGATCCTACCACTAGATCACATTTCGTAGCCCTCTCGGATTAGCTTGGAACCTCATTTCTACTTGGTATCATTCTACTCTAATAGAAATATGGGGAAGAGATTGGCTATGAGAGTTTTTTTTTACTTGATGTTGTGTAGTATTTAGAGGGAGAGGTATTGGTTAATCTAGTTGGGAAAAGGATTATTGTTTCTGGGATTCATGTGGTGATGAGCCCTTAGTAGGGTCTCGTATGATCAAAGTAGCCCACCTTCGAATTGATTTGATTTCAACTCAAGCTTCCTCATGAACAAGATTCGTTTGGGTGTTTTGGGGTGGCAAGTTTCGTGCAACTTCTCACAAAGGGAAAGAGGCTCGAGAACTATAGATCGATGCTTGGCCACGATCAGGGTGATGAACTGATCGATACAAGCTCACGATTGCTTAGAATCCACCAAGCAATCCTATTCAATTCTTCAAGCAAACTAGCTAGATGAATCAAATCTCAACTTTGTATTTGAATGATAAAAAAAACTAACTATTACATAACAATCTTAGGTTTAAATAGACTATCTAACTTACAAACCAAGTAAAGAAAGTCCTAGTCACGATCCAACTCAAAAAGGAAAACAAGATCTAACTCAAAAATGAATTAAAATCAACACAGTGTGCAAATCCTACTCCGACTAGGATTTGGATTGGTCTTCTCCAACGCCAGAAACAGCTGTCTCGAGACGATCTATGGGTGATCCGTTCGAGCACTTCCAGGGCTCAATTCCATCATCCAATTCCACGTCGACGTAGAAGGAAACTTGTACCTTCATGGTCTTCAAACCCCGAGCTTCGTCTCTCATCCCATCTCCTCCACTGAAACTCCAAAAGTGCCCTTCTAAACTTGCTCCAACACTTGGACAGTTTTGTCAGTTTTTCCTGTGTTGAGCTAGCAACTTGATCGACCTGCAAATCAATCTTTTGAACTTCCTCTTGCACTTCAAATCATATCAATGGAGAGATAAACCCTTCGTCTTCAAAACAAGCCCTTGAAGTCGAATTTCGACCAAGCCAATAAAAAGTTGCACACGTACAAAGTAGTGCACCTGAAACGCACACAACACTTGGGCAAAATTCAAGGTTGTTCAAATGAGATGAATGGGATTCTATGTCAATCAATTGAGAACTCGAAATGGATCCAAATGAGATCATATAAGGCCCTCATTCTTGAAAAAGTGTTGCTTTCAACACTTCTGCCTTCCTCTACTCGAACCGCTCACAAAATTAGTTCCAATCTGGATCTGAAAAAGGCTGTCCGAACTCGAGTCTCTGGGAAACTAGGTTAGTGTTCATCGTTGGAGGATTTGGGGTTTTCGATTTGACACATTTCCAGGCTAATTCACCGCCTGCACGAGCTTTGGAGAACTTCGAATTGCATTTCTGACCCCACCTTCCCTCTCAACTCTTCGCCATAATCGTCGAAGCGCCTTTTCCCAGTTTCCCGCCATCATCGGATTTTGAAAGCCCAAACCCAGAATTCTCAATCCCGAATTGGGCGTTTTTTTATCCATGCATCGCCATTCGAATTGGATCGTTCCTATAACTTCCTAGGACTATGTTTGATGATTATGCATCAACCGTTAGTGTCGAATCATTCACAATCGAGCCACCCAATAGACCTGATTTTTGCTCGTAGTTCCTTGTTTTTAGAGCAAATCGGGGTCGAATTGGATCCAGGAATCCATGCACATTCGACGTCGTCCAGTCTTTGATGAAGCTTCCCCTTGGATCATGGAACGTGTCAGTGCCTTTGGTTGGGTTCGTATTGCTCTCCAGAGCTCCACCCAATGGACCCTCCCTCTTGTTTTGCTCCGGCAAACCGTCACAAATTCGTTGAAGCCGAGGAGTCTTCTGCCTCTTGTAACCTGTGAGCATGAACCGGGGAGCTACAAAATTGACTTCGTTATGTTCCTCAACTCTTGTTCCACTAGATTCCCCATTTTGCCTCCGTCGACTGGTCTCTAATTGACGTTGATCATCTCGAACTTCGGCCGGCAACAGAGGTTTCAGTACAAACTTCTGGTTTCTATGCCAAAATTTGTACCAATTGGTTCCACCGTTGTGACAAACCCCTCGATCCAATTTCCAATGTCGTCCTAGCAACAGGTGCGCAACTTACATCGGAGCTACGTCAAACTGAATCTCGTCTTCATATCATCCGATTGCAAACTTGATCTTAGCGTGTTTATTAACCTTGATAGCACCGTAATCGTTAAGCCAATGCAACGTGTAAGGTGCAGGGTGTTTGCTCGTGCTCAGCCCGAGTTTCTTGACGATGTCAGAGTTTACTACATTCGTATAGCTTCCCCCATCTATGACAAGAGAAAGCAATTTTTCATTGACGCTGCATCGTGAATGGAAGAGGTTTTCCCTCTGTTCCGAGTTTGAATGAAACTCAATGGTGAGTTCCCTTCGATTTACACCTAGGAGATGTCCCGGGGAAGGAGGGGTCTCCATTTCAACTTATTCATACACCTCTTCCTCCTCGCCTGAGTTCTTCTCTTTGTCGGTGAGGTACTCACCATCCCGGATTACTAGAGTCTTCAAATTGGGGCACTGATTTGCCTTGTGTCCCCTTCCATGACACTTAAAGCACTGGATTCCTCCAGTTCTTTCCACAATAGATGGGGCGATGTTCTGGGTTGGTGCCTTGTTGGGTTCAGTTCGCACTTGTGGAGGATTGAAATCGGAAGCCAGCTTTGTCACGGACTTGTTAGTCGAAGCAAACCTTATGTCCGTGGGTTTCTGTTGTTTTTCGATCTTCATTGCCAGGTGAAAAGCGTCCTCCAGATCGACAAATGATCTAAGATCCACCTCCTGTCGAATCTCTCAATTGAAACCGTGAAGAAAACGAGCTATCGTCGCTTCCTGGTCCTCTCTTATGTCGGCACACATCATGAGCAACTCCAAATTTGTAAAACACTCTTCCACCGTCTGTGTACCTTGTCGAATCTGCTGCAGAGACTCGTACAGTTCTCTCTGATAGTATCCAGGAACAAACTGGTCCCTTAGAAGACCTCAGAGGTCATACCAAGTTTCAATTTATGGCT